CCATGTCTGAGGATGACGTCACCAAGGGGGAGCATGTAGAGGGTGAAGAGGAGGGACCGAGGACAGAGCCCTGAGGGACACCACACAAGACAGTGCGGGGGCTGGAGGAGAAGCCGTTTATAAAGTCCCAGTATCAAGGCTACACAAGCTACTTTTTCCCTTTCGACTCCTGCAGTTGTGATTTACTTTTATGTAAATGACTGCACACCAGTTAGTGGAAAATCACTAAACGAGGGTTAACACTAGACCAGTGTGGCTTGCCCTGTAAACCGCTCAGCTATATAAGTGAGGAAGAAAGGGGAAGTCTTGTTCGATTATTCGCTCATAAACATTATTTTCCCATGAAATATTTATTCTAAATGTATGCCTTAGCACCATCACCAAAACAACATCAGCAGCCGCCTTTTCAGAAACAATTCTGGTGAGAGTACTGAATTCAGAAAGAATTTATATCCTATTATAAAACATAAATAAAATCGGATTTAAAAATCAATTAACAAGTCAATAGGTGGACTTGTTGCAGGAGAAAATGGATAAAGTGACAATTTGCCCCCAAGGGTACTCTACTTCACTTCCATCAGACATTTCTTCCGATTTCCCCCAGGAACTGCGTAAACTAAATGCATGTTTGCTGGTGGATTGCATAGCTGGCCAAGAATGTGCATTCACAGCAGTGGAAAGCAACTGGCTTAACCTTTTTTTCTCGTTCTCTACTCACACATTGGGGTCGCGCATTCAGCCACTACACCCCGAAACTCTGGGTCACTCTCCCTCAATCCCTCCGCCTTGCCCCCTCTCTCCCCTTTTTCGTTGTCCCAGCTAAAAACCTTTCCTTTCGACCGAGCTTACGGTCACCTCTCCACCCCCCACCACCTCGGAGTCAGACTGCGCCACTGTTAAGCGCTCAGGGACGCTACCCGTGGAGGGCGCTATATAAGTTCAAGTTGTTGTTACGTTTTTTATATACGAGCCCACTCGCAAATTAGATCGATTTCTTTTAGGAAACAATATCTTGGGATACAGTGTAGAGTTTGGGACATGACATGTGCAAGCGACTGCCAGGATGGTGAAAAGCAAACTGGATGGACCTTGCCTTGGTCTTCTTTCTTCTAGCAAATTCTTATGTTCTTATGTTATCAGGAAAAAAAAAGTTCCCATTACCCCTTACGAACTCTCAAATATATGGACAGTTTTCAACTCTGATGAAATGCTGAACAGTTGTTCCTCCAAAAGTTTAATTCAAGAAAGAATGCTGTTAGCGCCTTATCACGTCATGAGATCGCAAAGTGCTTGACGGAAATGATAATAATTATTCTTATATTTTTGATACGATCGTTAGAAAAATCATCCGGAATTTCCTGATCGCGCCAGTACCAGCTTGAGAAGGAGCTGTGTACACCTCCAGTGTTTCCCCGTATCTTTCAATGGTCGGGCAGCGGCAGTGGGAGCAGGTGGGGGATGAGAAGAAAAGAGTAAATGAGAGTCTGTCGCCATTATATACATTCAACCAGAGAGCAATGAGGAAAGTTCAATCAGAGAAAAGAAAAATCAACAGAAGTTCCAGCGCTGGCAATCTAGAAAACCCAAGGTGGCACAAATAATACCTGTAGTCACTATATAATTGTTTTATTTCTATTATGTCCTGGCCATCAATAGGAGTAAAGTGAAGGCAGTAATCTTACTACAGGGGTTCAGTTGACCATCATAAAACACACTGAACCCCTTGATCGTAATAAATGAAGGCACGTGGAGTCCTGTAGCTCAGTGGTTAGAGCACTCGCTTTGCAAGCGAGAAACCTGAGTTCAATTCCAGGCAGCGGGAAACCTTGGGTAAGTTTCCTTACTCCACACTCCTAATAATAATCTCTCCAAAATAAAACAATAATAAATTGGTTATTTTCAATCCACGACTGTTTGTGGGACGCTGCTGTGCGCAATTGGCTGCCGCGTTCGCCCACAAATATACGGTCAATTCACTTTACAGCATATTCTGTGAAGCTCTTTGAGACGTCGAGAAGACGTGGAAAGCGCTGTATCAAATGCAAGGATTATTAATATTATTATTATTATACATATCATTATTAATATTCTCCAAATAGAAACATACCAAACATAGGACTTTTTTTACGCGGCTAATACCAACCAATAAATCACAAAGCTTTTGAAACCGCATCCAGTAAAGCCTAGCCTTAAAAACACGGCGTGCATTTAACAATGTCAGTGTAACCAGAAACGTCGCATTGGGTCTAATTTACTGGCATAATATTTTGGATGCTGTTCAAATTCATAGGAACAGGAGTTGGCCTCTTCCAGCCTGTTCTGCCATTCTATAAGATCATGGCTGATCTGTCCCTCAATTCTAATTACCCGCCCTTGCCCCATATCCCTTGATTCCCTGACCCAATAAATATCTATGCACCTCAGTCCTAAAAAATTGAATGGATCCAGCATCCACAGCCTTTTGGGGGGAAAAAGAGGGCGTTCCAGATTCCCACTACCCTTTGAAAAACTGGTGATAAACTGCCTCCTGATTTCACCTGTCCCGTCCTGCTGGAAAGCCTTTTTTTAAAATTTTCCGACTGTCTTCACAGGCAGTTGAGTACAGACGTAAAATGTCAGACCTGACATGGCGAAATCTGCTGCACAGCAATAGATTTGTGGCTCAGGTTTCTCGCTCTATGCAATCATGCAGCTTTTAGGCTCAGTTTTCACCTCCTCATTGCCTCAATGTTGCAGTGAGGTCCCAAAGCTTTTGTGATTAATGAGTCCCCAAAGTACACGTTTCTTTCAGTTACGAATCGCAAGGAATATCTAACAATACTGCTGCACTTGGCCTTGGGGTTCCGCCAACCACATGCAGATACCGTAATTTATTTTAAAATATCCTTGAAAGAGAGTTAGTGACTCCATAAGTAGATGCCTCCACAACAAATACAGTAATAATATGTAATCCTTGCATTTGATATAGCGGCGTATCACGTCGAGACATCTCAAAGCGCTTCACGGAATACACTGTGAAGTGAGTTGATGGTATATTTTAATTAGCGAAACTTTGCAGCCAATTGCGTACAGCAGTGTCCCACAGACAGTCATGGATTGAGTGACCTGTTGTTGTAATAAATAACAGTATTTTATCTTACTAGTCTAACCAGTTAGAATTTTGTCTTACAGCTTTAAGGACACATTTTCAGACCTTGTTAGTGAACCAGGCAGGTTCTTGGAGTTACGTTTTACAATGTCTGTGGGTCAAGAGCTCTCCCTAGACTCACTTCAACCCCACGGAGACTCGGTGCTACTCCTCCCCAAGGTAGGAGGGGAAAGAGAGAAGATAGAGAGAGAGAGAAACATTTTTTGACTTGATACTCATTGTGACCACCTTGTTAAACTGAGACGACTCTTGCTCCAAGTCTAGCGCTCAACCGATAGAGCTACATGGACGGAATATTTAACCAAGGATGCTAGTCAAGCCTGTTAATCCAAACCTATGAGAATCAGGAGAGCAGTTCCTGTTAATCCCATCACCGTGAGAACTCCTTTGCAGATTAAAACTGAGCCAGGGTCAGGCACAAGCAGGGGAAAGAAGCCAGTTAGAACTGAAGTTGGATAGAAGTTCAACACAATTTATTCTGATGGAAAAAAAAACTGTCCAGGCAATGAATGGGATCTTAAGATTCAGAGTGTGGCACACTCACATTGCATAATATAACTTGACAGTGCAGTGTGTCATCGGAAATTATTGGGCAAACCATAATGGGGGCCAATGGCCTAAGACCCAGTACACTGCAAATAATAAATGAGCAGTTGTTTAGGCCATTTAAATGCCTATAATTCTGTTTACCCTGACATGGATATCTGGCTTGCGCTTGAAGTACTCTCGGGTAATGATGATGTAGAGGAATGATTGCCTAACCATCCCTCTAATGTTATGAAGTCTGCCATGGAATAGACTGAGCTCCATTTCAACGGTCTGTCTGACGTGGCTTTACGGTGTGCAAGGAGTTAAGGAGCTTATATCGCTTGACACACCTAGACTTTACAGAACAAGACTGAGGTGGATAAATACGTGTTAGGTCAGGGTATCGAGGGATATGGGGCAAGGGCGGGTAATTGGAGTTGAGGTACAGATCAGCCATGATCTTATAGAATGGCAGAACAGGCTCGAAGGGCTGAATGACCTACTCCTGGACCTTTGTTCCAATAACACAAATATTGCAGACTATGGTAAGTAAGTTCAGGTCCGATCAGCTTGAAAACTCCTACAATTGGTGACAATCTACACTTGCAGAACATCTCAAACTTAAGATTTTAGACGGCAGAATACCGAAGCTCACCAGGGGAAGCAAGAAAACCTTGTCTACAATATTCTGAGTATAAACCCCTTTCTGGATGAAAAGTGCCTTCAAATGGACAAACATTTCTACAGAGATTCATATAATGACTTTACCCGTACCTATTGTTAAGAGTCATTATCCTGAAGATAACATAATTAATAATCCTTGCATTTGATACAGCGCCTTATCACATCTTCGAGGCGTCGCAAAGCGCTTCACAGAATATACTGTAAAGTGAATTGACTGTATTTTGTGGCAAAACGATGAGCTTCAACAAAACAGAAGGCATGTTATTGGCTCAGTGGCTACATTCCCATTGAACTTTACTGGGTTGTCATGTTGGGCCTCAAGGGAAAAATCGACACTGTAAGAAATGTTGCATCCACTACAACAAAATAATGGTCAATTGTCCAATGCCATTAAAAGTCTGAACAACATATCCACTGTGTTAACTGTTCAGCAATACAACAGTCCAGCATTCAACCTGGACTACAGTTAAGTATGATCTCAATATGAATTCTTTAGCCATGGAGTGTCCACCTATCATTTAGGACAGCTGACATGTGTAGTGTGCTAGATTGGCTATTAAGCGCCTGAGGCTGGGTTGAGCATCTTGGTGGGGGGGAAGCAGGGGGAGAGCCGAGAAGAGAGGAGGAAAGAGAAAAATACCTTTTTTCTTTAAGAAGGATTTTCTTGCTGATAACGGACTCTGGCGCACTTCTTTGTTTTGCAAGAACTTCGCTGCCGTGGTAATCTAGGGGCAAAGAGACATATTCCATTCAATTAGTGGCCAACGACTAGAATCCTGTAGCCGAAGTTTGATGAACGTTGTCAGCTTTCCTCGCCCACATTAAATCACAAGGCTGGACTGACAGCTATCCACTGCCACAACCAAAACTTTATCTAAGATAGATCTGAGGAGGACCCATTTTTGTTACCATATCAAAAACTCGTGAACAGCCCCATTTCATAACTGTAATAGTTTTGCATACAATCATATACAGACCGGAGTTAAATTCTGTTTGCGGATGTGGAAAAAAAAGTTCCTTCCCTTGAGACTAGTAATCATAAACTTAGACAGACATTGCAGTCATAATGGTTGCTGACTGTAGTGATCTTGCTAATGTAAAGTAAAAGGAAACAGGTTATGTGAATTTGTTACTAATAAAAAAGCAAACTGCTCTTACTAATAAAGTCCACACTATCATATCTTACGTTTTCCGTTGAATAGCACCAGCAACATTTTTGGTCTGTGTTTTTGTGACATTCTTTAAGCATACGCAGTCCCTAGATATGATCGGAGCACACAGATGCAAACCTAGCAATGTACTTGCCATGGAAATATAGAACACTCAACCGTAATTTGAAAACACAATATCGGTTAAGAATTTCCGAGCATCTATAAGTGCTTTCAAGAGTTAAGAAGCTTTAAATTTATCAACGGGCTTGCCAAATGTTGATCAAATATTCACAAATCTTAACATGCCCACGGGGAATGTGAATGTGATAAACCCTTTACGGAAAAGATTCCAACTGAAGTGCTCAAAACATGTTTTTCAGTCAATCTTCTCCTTTAACTGCAGGCTACACTGTGTCCTCCACAAATATTATATAGATATATGCATATATAAATATATTCTTAACCCAATTTGAAAATGTTTCTCCTTTCAGCAGGGAAAGTTGTCATTTTTTTAAAAAAAGAAAATAACAAAGTCCAACATTCCACTTGCAAAGGGAAAATAATAATAACAATCCTTAGCATTTGATACAGCGCCTTATCACATCTTCAAGACGTCTCAAAGCGCTTCACAAAATATAGTGTAACGTGAATTGACAGCAGTGTTCCACACACACAGTCGTGGATTGAGTGACCAAATTATTATTTGTGTGAAGTAAATAACTTGCCTAACGTTTCGACCTGCCCAGGAATTGAACCCAAGTCCTCTCGCTTGTGAGACGAGTGCTGTAATCAATAATCAAAAGGACTCCAGATTTTGAATCACAATCATGGATCACAAACTGGAATTAACACAACAAATCACACAATATGCACAAAGGTATGTTGATAAGTTTTATATCACATGATTTGCTTAGCTGACGAGAGTTTGTAGAGTCCTGCAGCTCAGTGGTTAGAGCACTCGCCTTGCAAGCGAGAGACCTGGCTTCAATTCCAAGCAGGTCAGGGCGAAACCTTGGGCAAGTTTCCTTACTATAAACTTGCACAATAATAATCCCTCCAAAACAAACCAATAATAAATTGGTCATTTTCAATTCACGACTGTTTGTGGGACACTGTTGTGCGCAATTGTCTGCCGCGTTTCGCCCACAAATATACAGTCAATTCACTTTACAGCATATTCTGTGAAGCGCTTTGAGACGTTGAGAAGACGTGAAAAGCGCTATATCAACTGCAAGGATTATTATTATTATTTTTCTTTTTTTTAAAAAATAACTTCTTGTGTGTAAAATATATTCCATAATTTCCCCCCCAAAACATTGAAAAAGCTATGGCTAGGATGTTCAGTTAGGACACCTCTGGTCAGTCTGATTCAATTGTAAAAATATTGGCTAATTGGTTAAAAGCTTTTGATCTCCGTTGGTCGTTGAAAATAGCTTTTTTTTAAAAAAAGAGAAAAGAGTCTGTGTCAAGTTGCAGAGAAGAAGTCGTTAGTAATTTGTTTAGAACAATACAACTCATAAACAGGAACAGCTAAGATGCATCAAATTCAATTGAACTCCAGGAAAACTACTAAAAAGTGAAGGGAAACCGTAATGAATGGAATCTTTGAAGCCAATACTCCTTACTAATCAATTAGTTACACCACTTTAGTGCTCTCAAAGACGGTTAGACTTTCGACAATGCTTCCTTAAACTTGGGTCAGTTTCCATTTGGACGAGGATTTGGACGAGGCCGTGAGTTTGTCTGTAATTTTAAAGACAAAATTATTTTCTTTTCCCACTGGCCAAAAGCCTTTCGGAGTCTTCGTGAAGTATAACCTGAATCCTTGCAACCATTAAAGCAAAACGTCATTCGTAAAACAGCCAAAATCAACAGCAGCAATAACAACTTGCATTTTATATAGAACCCTTCACAAGGGACAGAGTCTCAAAGTGAGTGCTTCGTAAAGCAAATCTATGGTCAAATCTTAAAATCATGGAATTAACACAGCAAATCAAATTTACAATCACCCAATTATAACCCCAATACAGTTACTGTACTGTCCATGACAACTCCTCAATAGTCCTGTATTAAAGAGTTCAAAGTGATGATACCTTTTTCGGTTTATTTAGTACTGCACTGCAACATTTTACTGTCACCGGGCTATCTCTGGCGCGGTTTAGCAGAGCAGCATTCTGGAACCATTCTGTCTCAATTTGCTCATTTTTTTGCCTCTGTAACTCACAACTCAAACACGCCATTTCCCAAAGTTTAAAAAAAAATCTTCACAGTACGTTAAGTTAAACCGAGCAGCAATGAAGCCCGTGAAACTTAATTTACGGCAGAATGGCCCACAATTACAAAATTGCAGATCTGGCTTTTTACGGCGTTGGGGACTGTACGGAATGCAAAGATCAAATTATTTGCACAAAAACCCTCTCGTACTTTAAAAGCACATTAATTAACTTCATTCACAAGCTCGCTGGTTAAGTCGGAGGCGGCAACATTCTATCATAAACCCAATGTACACTTCACGAAAGCTAAAGGTAAACGCGCAGGAATTTTTGCAAATGACTAAGTACACAGTAAGAAATTACAAGTCTGGTGTTTCGCTAAATGAGGCTCAACTTTTCCCTTCAAAGACAAAAGGAAATGGACTGATATACTCCAAATCTATTCCAGATACAGTATTGGGTTATCTTATGGAAGTGGCATTTTTTCCCCCCACTTAATGGTAATGTTCCTGCAAACCAAGAACGCTCCAACACCTCAATCAATTATAATCCAATTCGAAAGTTTTCAGCTGTCCAGTTACAGTGTTACACATCACATCTCATTTCTTTCAGTGAGAGGAAGAGGCAGAAAGTGCAGGCAGGGGAAAAGAAACTTGGTGTTTAACCATTCATTAACCAGAATGATTACACACTTCTATCGCCTGATAAAATAAAACATTCACATAAAAAAAGGTCATGTTAATTGCTCGTATAATGTGAGCGGAATGAACATGACTTGACTTCGAATTTTATTTCGCCTACGATATGTGCAGTCAATTCACTTTACAGTTTATTCTGTGAAGCGCTTTGAGACGTCTCAATGCCATATCAATTGCAAGGATTATTATTATTATTGATATACAAACAAGCAATGTAGGGTAGGTTTGCTTTGAAGATAAAGAATGAAATCCTGGTTCTTGCCTTTTATCCCAATTGCTCTTGGCTGATTACTTTACTTTGGTGGAAATGCATCGCGTCTCGTTCCGGGTGGTCTACAAAAGACAACTGCTGCAAGCTTTCACTCTCACCCTAAACCACAGTGCAGGAGGGCCATTAACATTATCAATCTCTCCCAGACTATCTGAAGTGTGGCAGCTTAACACTGCGGAGCACAGCAGGATGATGGTGTTTATCAGCTTTCAAATGGATACCATCAGATGGTGTAATAATAACAATAATCCTTGTATTTGATTATAGCGCCTTATCACGTCGTTGAGACGTCTCAAAGCACTTCACAGAATATATTGTAAAACAGATTGACTGTATTTTGTGGGCGAAACGCAAACAAAAATCACAGTTCTCTCCACGTGTGTCGAGGTTGTCTGTTTCACCTTCCCTCTGAAGTGCATCATCCTTGACTGGAAAGACCTTCTAACTTTCTATCCTGAGCTCCCTCACCCATTGCTCCCTGTCCGGTAGACTGGAAATCTGCCTTTAATTAGACTGGACTTCTGTCAGCTGGTCTAATCATTAATTAGGCTGATCGAATCATTAATTCAGACCTCATATCAATCACTTTGCACTCCTTGCAGCACGGAATCACCCGTTCACCCTGCTACAGGCTGTAGGAGCCAGAGATTCTTGAATGTACCTCTGAAATTTGTTCTAATAATAAACTGTCATATTCATAGCGTTTAAGAAGCACGTTTCAGATTTCTGGGACTTTTGAAAATTATTCCGGTAGATATTCTTGATCTGTAGGATAAATACTTCAGAGTGCTGTACCAAGTTGCTTAGTAAATTCATTACTCAAAAAGAAGTCTAGGAAGCAGACTATAGATTTGAGCTTCCATTTATAAAATTTTGCCTGCGTGCGCGGGGAGACGCAACAACTGACACTCACTTAAGATGCTATTAAGCTGATGTTTCAAGTAAAAAGATAAAAAAAGAGATCATTAGCGAGCGCAGAATTCAGCCTCTGTCCAAATCAATTCATTTTACACTTCACTATCTGTTCACATAAAAGTACCTTTTAAGACAATAAAGGCACATAACATGTCTAAATCTGGTTATGCCGGTCTCAAGTTCCTGTCAAACAATAGTTTAGGAAAAAAATGAAGCTCTATTTTAATTAGCAGGATTCGTGAGTGATTTGATAACAGTAGTTGTTGCTTGAATGCTTTCAGCTTGATGGGATATAGATACATGAACTCAGCAGCTCAAATAGATCTGCTGCAACTGGATATTTCCCTTTGCTCTTAAATATGACATGTGATTATGGTCTGTTTAACACTGTAACCTTTCTCTGCCCCGGGCTTATTGCTATATATAAGGAAAGAACTGGGACAAAGGACATTTCATCAACCTTCAATTTTGATTTTC